AGGGCCACCCAAAAAGCTCCCAGGAGTGATGACACTGCCATTAGTTAGTCATACTGTTTTCCCGCAGTTCACAGACTGGGCCTGAATGTTCCAGATGCAGATATGAAGTTCCTCCAGTCTTCAGTAGCTAAGTGAAGCCCCTGTTCCCCCACGGCGATATTGTGAGTGTACGTCTTCACAGCCAGCCAATCCTTTTGTGCTTGGAAGTGCACAAATGCCTTTCTGTGCCTTTGTTGTTGGGGACCAGAGGGCAGAGGCAAGCCCTAGGGTACGACCTGCCCCCCCGCCCAACCCCTCCCTAGGTGACCTCTGTGTCCTTGATGTCCCCCCATCCGGCTACTATTGCCGTCGGGTCCGGCCACATCTAAGGGTTCGGTCTGGCCTCTCTGCCCCCGCCCCCCCAGCCTTCATCAGCCCCGCCCCAAAGACCAGGGTGGTGAGCCCCTTCCAGTCAGGCCACATGGGGGAGTCTCTCAACCGAAAGCCCAAAACCGTGTCGAATTGTGGGACTGCAGTGGAGATGCGAGCTGACATGGGATGAGCGGCGGCTTGCATCACCACCCCTGCCAGGGGCGTTAAGGTAAGTTTGTGCGTGTGACAGGGAGCACAAAGAAAACAGAGAGACCAAAGACAGAAAGACATAAAGAAACAGACAGACAAGAAAGTGCGACAGACGGAAACAAAAATACACACCTCATGCAACCAAAGTACAACAAAGAAAAAAAACATACATACAACTGAACAGGTGGACAAAGACACAAATCATACAAGCAAACTCAACAACAACACAAAGAAACAAAAAGGACCATGCAGACTGCCCCCGCTTTAAGAGACTGCTCCTACTCCGCCAGACAGCACATACATTAAAATGAACGTCAAAGTTTAAGGTTTGGAATGAGACTGGGAAATGTGTGCGAGGCTGGGATGGTCACGCTGCTACACAAAACAGCAAGGTACTATACTATACTATACCATACTATACCATACTACACTCACCTAAAGGATTATTAGGAACACCATACTAATACGGTGTTTGACCCCCTTTCACCTTCAGAACTGCCTTAATTCTACGTGGCATTGATTCAACAAGGTGCTGAAAGCATTCTTTAGAAATGTTGGCCCATATTGATAGGATAGCATCTTGCAGTTGATGGAGATTTGTGGGATGCACATCCAGGGCACGAAGCTCCCGTTCCACCACATCCCAAAGATGCTCTATTGGGTTGAGATCTGGTGACTGTGGGGGCCATTTTAGTACAGTAAACTCATTGTCATGTTCAAGAAACCAATTTGAAATGATTCGAGCTTTGTGACATGGTGCATTATCCTGCTGGAAGTAGCCATCAGAGGATGGGTACATGGTGGTCATAAAGGGATGGACATGGTCAGAAACAATGCTCAGGTAGGCCGTGGCATTTAAACGATGCCCAAATGGCACTAAGGGGTATAAAGTGTGCCAAGAAAACATCCCCCACACCATTACACCACCACCACCAGCCTGCACAGTGGTAACAAGGCATGATGGATCCATGTTCTCATTCTGTTTACGCCAAATTCTGACTCTACCATTTGAATGTCTCAACAGAAATCGAGACTCATCAGACCAGGCAACATTTTTCCAGTCTTCAACTGTCCAATTTTGGTGAGCTCGTGCAAATTGTAGCCTCTTTTTCCTATTTGTAGTGGAGATGAGTGGTACCCGGTGGGGTCTTCTGCTGTTGTAGCCCATCCGCCTCAAGGTTGTGCGTGTTGTGTCTTCACAAATGCTTTGCTGCATACCTCGGTTGTAACGAGTGGTTATTTCAGTCAAAGTTGCTCTTCTATCAGCTTGAATCAGTCGGCCCATTCTCCTCTGACCTCTAGCATCAACAAGGCATTTTCGCCCACAGGACTGCTGCATACTGGATGTTTTTCCCTTTGCACACCATTCTTTGTAAACCCTAGAAATGGTTGTGCGTGAAAATCCCAGTAACTGAGCAGATTGTGAAATACTCAGACTGGCCCGTCTGGCACCAACAACCATGCCACGCTCAAAATTGCTTAAATCACCTTTCTTTCCCATTCTGACATTCAGTTTGGAGTTCAGGAGATTGTCTTGACCAGGACCACACCCCTAAATGCACTGAAGCAACTGCCATGTGATTGGTTGATTAGATAATTGCATTAATGAGAAATTGAACAGGTGTTCCTAATAAACCTTTAGGTGAGTGTATACTATCATACAGCATGCAGAACGCACTAGGTAGCGTAACACCTTCAGGCATATTCCCTCACGAAATATATTTTTACATTTACATATATTTTAATGTCCAAGTTGTCGTACACGGCACAGACTAAGTTGTGGACAATCTGTACAACCAAACTCCAACCATACAAAGTATGGCTGGGAAATCAAATCAATATCACGATTAACTGAATATTTTACCTCGATTACGACTGATGATTATTTGCATTAATTGCAAACAAAATTTACCAACTAACTTACAATGGAAACCGTTTATAGTGATTATGTCTGTGTGAAATTGATCACTATAATTTTTCTTTTTCTCGGGCAGATTTCCATCTAATTGACATTTGCATATTTATTACATGCATATAAGATAGTGAAACTGACAGTGTTGCTATTCACTGAATTTTATTCTTTCAAAATACAGTACAGCTGTCTCAGACACTTTTCAAATTACAGTACTGCACAAATGACATCAATGAACTTTGTAAAATTCAAATAAGCTATAATACAGTACATACTGTATAATACTGTACATAAAATGCAGCTTATTGTAGTTTTGGTGCTGCATCTCATTGGCTCGTTTTTGACAGTTTATCATAAAGTTTGATTAGTCCATTTCCGTAATTGAGAGAAAATGACTTTCTTTCCCTGTCATGTTTTCTGTGCACGCAGCATTAGCCTCGGGTAGCTAGCAGAAGCAGACGGGTTACAGCAAGTAAAAACAAGAAGTAGAATTACTGTAATTTATTTTTTGTTATGTATAAAAAGACCCAAAATGAACACACTGAGTGGACTACTTGATTACTATAAGCAAATTATTTAAACGGTATTTGTATAGGAATGATTCTGTTCCAAGCTTTTTGATCCATATAAGTGCTTGATCACTATAAACAGTTTCCACTGTATTTTAAATATTGCTAGTGGTGAAACCGATTGGTGGCATTACCTTTGGTAGCTGAAACTGTATTGTCGCACTGTTTACATTTGACCTCTTGTTAGGTGTCGTCTTCACTAAAGCCACAATGTGTCCAAACCACGGACACGGATGCTTATGTTTGGTACAAACTACTGGAGTCTAACTGAATGGGGAGGAGTCATGTGCAAACGGACACGGTAGTATGTTTTTAAGGGGACAGTACATGAACACACAATGCGGTAAGTATTATATTTTTAAGTATTAACAGAAAAAGGAAAAAAACTAATTAACTGGAATGGGCAAGACTACATCGATTAGAGGTTCTGAATGTCGGTTTTGATCAATTGCCCAGCCATAATACAAATACGCACGTAATACACAAACATACAGCCAAATAACAATCACACAAAGAAACAAAAACACAAACACAAACATACAGCCAAAAATAGCAAAGCAACAAAAACATACAACCAAACAATAATCATTAAAATTAAAAAAACCCACAACCAAATAATCAAACACAGTCGGGTTAGAGTACAGCCGCACCCTCCGCTCCTGTGCGACTGACGGATGGAGCTGTTCAGACAGGGACCTGAGACCTTCATGGCGTGTTGCAGAGCGGCTCAGGGGACGTACCTGATCTGGCCCCTGACCAGCGGTCGGTTCTTTGTTCGGTTCATATTGGAGTCAAATGGCACCTCGAAGTACTGTGGGGTGGGGGGGAGAGAGGAGGGGTTAGAATGGAGACACATAACACATGGACACAAACACGCACACATATATACACGCAAAAGTGTTTGCGAGCACGCACATACACACATGCACACACTCCATCCATCCATCCATCCATCCATCCGCAGATCCTGGTCAGGCCCATGGGGGCGGAGACACAGGCCGAGTGCCATCCCATTAAAAGGGGCTGTGCCCCCCACGTCCCGGGGTCTAAAACGCAAACACATGGGGCAGGTTACTGCGCCGACCGGAAAGCATGAGGCTGATGAGGAAACCAGGCGAATCGACCCGGCCCAGAAACATCAGAGCCCACTCCTGGTGAAATATGGCGCGCATAAAACAACTAATAAACAGATACTACGCAGACCCCCCCTCCACCTCCATGTTTAAAATCGCTCATGCGGCTGAAATGCGCTTCCAGAACCCCATATTTAGGGACCATCGGGAAGTGGTCAGACTGCAGGATGCTCATAGATCACCACACTAACTATGACAGCCCCCCCCCCAAAAGGCCGTTTGCATGACGAGCCCCTGTTTTAGCATGAGCCTGCAACAACAGGGTGGGCCCCAACACTCAGACACCCCCCTCAGCAAGACAAGACCATTTCATTGGAATAACCAGCTGTGGAGACTGTGTCTGGGGGGGGGGTAAGGATACGCAGTCTCTCCATCCGGAAGAAGTACGTTCAGTTCAGATTGCGGTTACACCCCCACGGCCACAACCCCACCCCCAACCACCACAACCACCCCCCCAATGTCTGTTTCCCATTTCCCATCAGCCCTCAGCCCAACTCAGGCTCCCCCCAGTCCTCCCCTGAGCCGAAACAGAGTACCACTAGGCTGTGGGGTGTTTCCCAGTCTACCTGTTCGTTAACAGCATTTTCTTCCGTTTGCCCCATTCTCTATCAGTGGGGGCAGAGCTATTACTGCCCCCACCCCATTTTAGGACGACACATGGCATGAAGCTGCTGTCTCACAATGCCAGGGCATGCCCGCCTGCTAGGCGCCCGGCTGCTAGGCGCCCGGCTGCTAGGCGCCCGGCTGCTAGACGCCCGGCTGCTAGACGCCCGGCTGCTAGACGCCCGGCTGCTACACGCCCGGCTGCTAGACGCCCGGCTGCTAGGCGCCCGGCTGCTAGACGCCCGAGTTGATATATATTTGGTAATTTACAAACAATTAACTGAGCATGGAGGCATCTGAGGAACTAGTAGGAGGAGGAGGAGGAGGTAAGGAGGTGCACTGATGACAGCACGTTGCTGCACCCACCATGCGACAAATCACCTCGAGGATGAGAGCCTGAGTGCAGCCATGCGGCAGGTGATACCTCAGTAGCACATCAGTCCGAATGGACCAGTGAGAGGTTTTTCCAGTGGCTGGAGAGGCAATCCTACCACCAACCCTCAAGTTGGGAACTAGGACCCAGTAAAAATATCACTTGCTCATAAAGGTCAGACTATAAGAGCCGTTAACCGGATTTTCTTTTCACCTGAAAATGGGACCGAACATAAGACACTTCGCGGCTGAACTCGGGACAGCCGCCTGCTCAGAATCCAGGCCTGCAGGGAGTGGTTAGCCGGGGGCGGGGCCAGAGAAGGCCGGGCCTTGATTAGACCGCCAACGCCTCCGCGCAGCGACCTTCCAGATGGAGAGAGCGGAAGCTGGGGCCGGGGGTGGGGGGGGAAGCAGAGAACAACCTCTGTACCAAGCGCCATTCAGTGAGTACAGGCCCAGGAAAGCAATGCAGGCCAGGGAGGCGCTCCCTAGTCGTCAACGGGAGTCGTACAAAGACATGATGGCTAGCAGGGGACTGCTGACATCACAGAGACCCGCTGGACTAGAGTCCTGGTGAGACTCCTGTGTCCTGATGACATCACTGCCCCTAAGACACAGAGTCAAAGTGGGGCAAAGCCAGGTGTTGGTGCTTGTCACTCAGCCACCACCCCCAGCAACGATGAGCTCGTACTGAGGGACCTGTCTATGTCTAAGCTCTAAGATCACACGGGCACGTTCACCATGTCAATGTCACACCCTCTGAACAAAGCAAACATGCAACATCTCCATCTCAATATGTACACACAGCAGCTCCCGTGCACCAAGCCATACAGTGCAAAAAGCCTCCTAAAGGGGGCGACAGTGAGGTCTCACCCAGGGGCTCGGACCAATTCACATGGCCTGCATCCCGCAGCCGCACGCCAGCAACCCTCCTCTCAGCTCCACACAGGGAATCGCCATGCCGCTGTGGTGACGGGAAGCCTGCCCTCCAGATCACGGCGCCATGCACTGCTTGTTAAACTGTGAACAAGGAGCGGGTGCCGGGTGCAATTTAATGAGCCGAATGCTCGTTAATTCGTTGTCTCAGAAGCAGGAAGTGGAGGCGTGGAGGTGCGCACACGTGCACCGCAGGCGGCCTGGTCGCCGCACTCGAGCGCGCTTCTGCCTGCCTGCGCAGACCGGCTGCTGCTGGGACAGGAAGTGACCCGGCCAGAGTGCTCACAGGCATAAACAAACGACAGGAGGCCTTGAATCTCAGCCCTGCGGAACCAGCATCTGGAGCTTCCAACACAAACACCTAATCGCTCACACTCAGGGAACGCACCCCCCCCACCACCACCATAAACAAACATTCCTGCTTATTAACACCGCTGCATCTCTCCTAAGGCCACCCCGAACCATGGGGACGTGGCAGAAGCACGCGGGGTCCAGCACCGGGCTCTCCGGCGTAACCTCGTCCCCCCACCCACACCAAAACGGAAACATTTATCTCACGCTATTTATAGCCACAGGACTCCAGTGGAGTGGCTCCAGGATGCAGTGCACAGATACCACAGCCTGTCACTGCAGCATACAGGGTGCGAGGGCCCATCAGAATCCAGCTTTTCCAAGCACTGCGCTAGTATGAGCACATTCATGAAGGACGGCGATACTCATGCCCTGAGCTGCCTTCTCGGTCACTAATAAACTGCTTCACAAAGAATCAAATAATACATTCAGGAGGTTATCGAAGACTTAAAAACAGCAACGGCTTCAAGGTCTTCTTCCATGTTTATCATCTCTGCTTGTAACCCTGGTTAACAAGACAGACAGACCTGCTCTGATCTCCTGATCACTTCCCTGAGAGCTATGAATTATGGCAAGAATAGCAAAGACCTTCGTTGCCTTACCATGCTCCCCTTGTGATGGAGCCAGGAGCAGGAGCTGATGTTTAACTGGCCAGTGAGCTGAGCGCACACATCGTGGCTACAGTGCCATGGCCCAGAAGTTTAACTGGAAAAGACTTGACCTGTGCTAAGCTCCTCACACTACAGAGATTCTCAGGCAGCCTTCTTTGTGACCATTGTCAAGGAGAAGTCTAGGATATACAGCATGTCGGATAGGAGATCCCACATCTGAGCACCCCCTACTGGAAGGGAGGACTCTGGCCTTCTGTATTACTACACCAGTGCCTAAGCAAGATAGTAAAATGGCCTCTGTTAGCATACAGCACGAGAGGAAACATGCTTGGGCAGGGCTGTGAAAAAGAGACCAGGAAAAGGCAGGTGCGCATGAACCTTTATGGGTTAAAATCTCATGAAAGACCCGGCGGTTAGACCCTTGAAGCATTTTAAAAGGTTGCATGTCTGGGTTAAAGTGTAAAATACACCGTCACAGTGAAGCTTCTCTCTGCTTCCGGAACCATCATATTTACCGTCAGGGTAAATTTAAATCCGCTTAACTGTAACATAAACAGGCCAACACAGCTCAGCACCCCCCAGGTCCCAGAGCAGCACCCCCCAGATCTGCTGCTTCTCCTACCACGGTTCTCCATCCACGGTTCTCCATCCACGCGATGCCCTGCCGGTTTCGAACGCTGTGCTGAGTGAGAGCGAGCTGACATTCCTGAGTGACCTCTGAAAGACCACAGAGGGACACACAGTGACAGATACACAGGCGCATACAGACTCACCGCGAGTCACAGCAGGCCTCCAACATGCCAGGACACAGGTCATCGGCATCCCCTTTTGACAATGGTGCTACGATCAAGGTTTGCATTCCGTAATCAGGCCTGCTTTCATAGGGCTCGTCCCAGCGGCTGGTGGTTTGTAAACAGGAGACCAGATCTCTCACACGCAGACAGCAAAGGGCACGGCCGTCACCTAGACCCACCACCGGGACACCGCAGACACCGCAGACACCGCAGACGCTGCAGGCACTGCAGACACCCGCTACCCATCAATCAGACAGGCCATGTAGGCAGCTAGTGAAGAGCAGTCATGTGGCCAGAGGTTTCACGTCAGGAATCAGGAAGGCCTGGGAGGAACCGGCAGAGCCAAGGCCACAGCAGAGGAGGACAGCCTCAGTACGGCTAATTAGCCGGCATTTCTGATAATGAACCGAAAGACGATTCCCAGCTGAGGAGACCTTGAGGAACATGAGCAGCCCAAACGATAGATGGGGAGGACAGTTGGGGGACCCAGGGCCCAGATTACGGGCTCACACTAATCTTCAAGGTCAGGAGGTTTAACCATGACGGGGCATCCAGGAGTCCTGCTGTGCACATTCAGCCACAACACTGGGGTCAGGAACAGACCCACCAGAGTGGAGATGGAGCTGCCAGTCCCACAGACAGACTAACAGGGGAAGCTGCTGCTCATAAATCAGTGAGGATAAGGGTCCCAAACGACATCCCTCCCTGCCCCCCTTGTCACAGTCTGTCGGTGGCACTACCGTGACCTCTCACCTGCGGGAACCAATCTGCTGATCTTGTGACAGGAGCCGGTGCACCCTTCACGCCGAACAGCCAAAACATCTCCCCGCCCCAAACACTCCCACGAGCACAGTGAGCTGTGCGTGCACAGCCCTCTCACGTGCACGCTGCACAGCCCTCTCACGTGCACACTGCACAGCCCTCTCACGTGCACACTGCACGTGCACACAGCTGACAGACACACAGAGCCGGAGCGGCGGGGCCGGAGATGGAGGTCAGCAGGATAAAGAG